ATATCAAAATTGTCTAAATCTGATATTATTACCACATAGCCCCTAATATTTTGTCTACATAGGGGACAGTCTGCGCTCTGTAAACTTAAAAGACATTGTTTACACGAAACGACATGATTACATGGTAATAATAAAATATTTGCCATTTTACCAAGACAAATTTTGCACTGAAGACTTTCTTTTATCGAATGATAAGCATCTCTTTCTCCATTAACTGAACTGTTATTTTCTTTAAATTTAGAGGTAACTGCTATATCAGGATTATTAGATAAATTGATTTTTTTCAATGAACAGCAATACTCTAGATATTGTTTTTGCTGTTCTTGCAAATTGCAAAAACTAAAATCAATTTCTTTCAGCAATCTGCTAGAAGATTTGAATCCATCACATATCACTTTAAAGCTATTGCCCATATTCTCATTGCCTTTCAAATGAATATTTTCTAGTGCTGAACACAGTTTAAATGTTTCTCCTAGACATTTAGCTTGTTCATCATTTAAATCACAGTGTGAAAAATCAATGTTTTTTAAAGAGTTTGAAGAGTATTTGAGTCCATCACATATCACCTTAAAGCCATTCCCCATATGCTGATTGGTTGAGAAATCAATATTTTCTAGTGCTGAACACTGTTTAAGTGTTTCTCCTAGACATTTAGCTAGTTCATCATTAAAATCACAGCAGCCAAGTTTAATTATTTTCAAGCATTTTGAAGAAGATTTCAGTCCATCACATATTACTTTGAAGCCATTCCCCATATCTTTATTTTTTGATAGGTTGACATATCTTAAAAAAGAGCATTTTTGTAAGTTTTCACCCAATGTTTTTGAATCTTGAATATTTAATTTGCAATCCACAATGATGATATTTCTCAATGTATCTTTAAATGATGTGAAATTGAAATAAATGTTAGCTTTGATATAACTTTCAAATAATAGAGTTTTTATATTGGTACATTTTGTTAAAAGTTGAGATATTGTTCCTTGCTCATTTTCAAACTCTGTGTGGTGTTCAATATTAAATATCTCCAGTGTTTGGCACAATATTTCAAAGAGATCCGTCAATATATCTCTATAACTGGTATTATATTTTAAATTATTTAATTCAATTGGAAAATAAAGCATGTTAACAAATTTCTCTTTCAAGGCGTTGTATAAACATTCAATAGTATTTTTATTCAATTCGATCAGCTCTTTTTCATCAACTCTCTTATTTGCCTCTGTAGAATTTAGACAAATTTTCAGTTTTTCATTGAAAAGTTTAATCTGAATAATATTTGGTGTCATAATGTCATCATCATATGAATGGAATGGTAGCTGATTTGTTAAATTATTGGATATATAAATGTAACACTCTCTAAAAAATTGGTTATTTAGATTTATTATTGAGCTATTTTGTATCACTATTTTATTAAATTTGTGATGCTCCCTTTTAAATTTTAAAATATTAAAAAGATCTTCCATTTCATTTCCAGAGAGTAGTTTATTCTGAAGAATAATCTCATGAAGAGACTCTTGTTTTTCAATAAATGTTAATGGTGCTCTTTGGTAAAAAATTTCAGAATTGTATGATATATCAGTTAAACTAGTGAATTGGTCATTTCCAAATGTAACTTCAATCAACCACTCAGTGTTGTATTCATTATTTGAAATCTCTAATTTCTCAATTTGCTCTTTTGATGGTACACAATTATTATTATTATTCCTTTTTCTAACCAAAACTTCAATATCATGGACAATAAAATATGTAATCCTAGTTGATGTAATCAATGGTAGCAGTTCTTCAAATATCATTTGATAGGAAAAATAAAAATCTTTATTCTCTATTTCAATTTTTTCCAGCAATGGAGAGTACAAAGCAAGTTGTTTCAGTAGAAAAGTAATATTTATCTTGGTGTTCTGAATAGAAATATTCAATAAACAACTTCCATTGATTTCTATTAATAATCCAACTATAGTATCATTTAAATCTTCATTTTTTAAATTAATCTCTTGGTTGCTTTCCAAACCATTTGATAAATAATTTTGTACAGTTTCACTGCAATCGAACAATTGTTGAGCAAATTGAGATGAGAGAAGAATATTTTGAAATATTGATTTTGAATATTGTTGAACAAAATCTAAAGTATTATATGTCCTGATATTGTTATTTTCTTTAAATAATTCATCCAAAGTTTTTTCTTTATCCAACAAAGTTGTCAATGTCCAAATTGTTTTTTTGGATTTATTCTTAAACTCTTTTATCAGATATTTAGCTGAAAAGTATTCTTGAAATGATAAATGATAGAATTGTAATTCATTTTTCTTGAATTTAGCAGGAATGACATCAAAAATTCCCTTTAAACTTGTATACATGATTGTATTTTTGTCTGTATAAAAGTCAAGGATAATTTTACTTGTTGAAAGATTAAAAAAACATGATTTATATATGTCTTCCATGTCAACATCATTGTTATTAATGGTTTCTAGATTTTTCTCTTGAATTATACAAACAAAATCTTCATATATTTGAAAAAGAGTTTTGTTTAAAAAGTCACCTTTTTCCTCCCAAATAAAAAAAAGAATCATTGCTAAAAGTGGTACTTGACATAGATTTTGTATTTTTGGATGTTTTTTGACATTTTCCAGAAATTCAATCCCTTTTTTATTAGAATTAGTGAGAAAACATTTTTGAAAAAATTGTTTTATTTGTACATTTCCCCAACCTGTTAATTCAAATGCATAATCACAAGTAGTTATGATTTCCTCACCTTTCCAATTTCTTGTCCAAATAGCAGTTGGAATATTACAGTTTGCCCCTTCAATAATATCATTAAATTTATGTGTTGGATGATGAAACTCATCTGCTCCATCTAAAAATAATATGATGTCTTTTTGCTTTTCTTTAAAAAATAATTCAATAATATGTTCATTTATATAATTAATATTTTTGAAATTTTGTCTATATATCTCTTCATAAATTGATCTGTTTCCATTCACATTTCTGAGGATAATGAATATACACAATTTTTCCTGGTCAGCAATCCATCTTTCATTTGCCCACATATAGAGTAAATGTTTCATATGGACACTTTTTCCTATCCCAGGTTCTCCTTGAATTAAAATCTTATTGAAATCTGTATAAAATATTTCATAGAAATTTTCATAATAAATTTCTGTATTCACAAGTTCTGAGTCAGAGATATGTTTTTCAAAAATGTTTGATATTTTAATATCTGTTAAAATATCAGTTAATTTAACTTGTTTAGTTTTATTAAATGGTAAAAGTTTTATTGTTGTGAAATCTTTTTTCCTCTCTTCTTTTGTATCAGAGATTAACCTTTTCCATACAAATTCTTGATCACTTAAATATTTTGCCAACTTGTTGTCCAAGTCCCTTAAAATTTCAATAACATCTTTTAACGTACCGGCATTCAGTATTTTGATTATATCTTTAGTAGCTGCAGTTTTCTCTGCCTTATACTGCTCTTCCAGAATTTTAGCCTTTTCTATTTGAATGAATTGTTTTGAAACTAAATTTATGCAAATTTTCTTAAAATTATATGTTTCGTTTAATAACATTAAAATATTTGGAATATAATAATTGAAACATAGCCAATCCCGAGAATTCATTTTGATTAATGATCTTCAAGAACCTTTGGAATCTTGGTATCTGTACAAAAAAAATGTCTTTTGTCTTATAACTGCATAATTGGATTACTTAAAAATTCTTGAACTTTTATATTGCTGCTTTTCAAACACTTTGTTCAAAGGTCAAGGAGAACCAGTACTGTTGTAACTTGCAAATTCTTAAAAACCACGCAAGAGATTATAAAGAACAGTTATGGCCTCTTATAGGCTGAATGATAATTTCTTAAATTAGAGTTTTCACAAAATTGATTCCTACTAAACAATCTCTCAATGTAATGATGATTCTTAAAATGCGCAAGAAATTTTACACACAATATTAATGACTAGATAAGAAATGATAAAAGAACATTTAAAAATTCACTTACTTTCTTTTTTTGGAATTTTAAGCGATAGAGGCCAGTAGTATGAAACTATTATTATACAGAACAGCACTAATACTATGCAGCACACCTGTACAAATAAACTCGTCTGCTATATTTTATGGATAGAGAAGCAGTATTGATCTAGTTGTGACTCACCAGAAAAACCATAAATTAAAAGAAAATGGTTATAAATTATATTTTTTCACTTAGAAATAATAACATAATGATTTTTAGACTTTAGATATATAATTGAGCTTTAGAAATACTTCCATTTCGCACCAAATACATTTTTCAACCATAACAGATGGTGCCACTATGCAATTAATAAAGGTATAAAAAACACAGCAAAAGATGCATATCAAAGCTGTTATATCCTTTTCAATAACAAATGTTGAAAAATGTCCACAAATGAGAAATTTCAAGACAAAAATTTGGATTGAGAAAATGGTTAGGCAGAAGAAGACAGCAATTGATTTGTACTTAGGCGGGTCTCCTCTAAGGGTTAGGGCTAATGGAAAAGGTTAGATACAGCTAAGGGCTGGGTTAGGGTTAGGGTAAAAGCACTAATTTGTGGACGTTTTCTGTCGCATCCCAAGTGCATTGAGGGTTTGTATTATTTATGCCTTTATAATATCAATCATTCAAATAATCCAGATCCACCATCAAATTCGCCATTATTCGGCCTGCCACACACACATCCTAAGACACACTCACTGACACACAACATTGCAAGCATACAATGTGTTGTTCAGGCATTTTCAATAAACAAAGTGAGCTTTTTCAATAAGTACAGTGGGTGTTTTCAGCAATAAGAGATTTAAATACTAATTACCACATTCGCAATATTCTCAACTATATTTCATTAATTTTGAACAACAAGCTATAAGAAAATAATGTGAACGAATCAGTCTAAACGATGGTTTTTCTTTCAAGTTCCTTTTAATAAATCTTACAAACTCTTTCATAAAGATGATTAAATACTGTCAACTTGGGCATTTACAACTGTTCCATCTTATTGGCGAGTATGAGAAGAATTTTCTTGTACAACCCGTTTAAAAATTGGAATAGTAAGGTCTCTTGTTAAATCATCATTTATAAGTTTCCAAAATAGTTTGGAGAATAGAGTAGCCAATGTTTTCATTTCATTTTCAGGTAAAATATCCATTTTTAATTCTTGAAATAATGCTTGAATAGATATAAAATCTTGGTCACTGTAATAAGGAACTTCCCATAAAAGTTCCATTTTAACATTTCTCCAAATTTGTTTTTTAAATTTTTCAGTAGATTCTTGGTTTGGATTGTTAGAAAGTGATTGTAATTCTTTTTCAGTAAAATCAAATATAATTGATTTCATTAATTGTTCTGGTAAAATATCTATTTTAAATTTAAGAAATAAACTATAAAAAGTTCTGATTTGTTCATTTCCATCTTGAAATCTTATTATATAATTTGGTATTCCGCAACAATAACATGGAAAATATTTATAGGATGCTAAATATTTTAGGCAATTTTGACATGAAAAATGTTGAGTAAACAATTCAATTAGTTTAGAAGATTGACCTTTCTTATAGCAAACGAAACATGATAAAGTTGTTCGACCTCTTCGACCTTTACCTTTCGATATAAGTTTTCTCCAACATTTCAGGCAGGAATAATGTTCAAATTCCATTTGAACCGAATCGAAGAAAGTAATAGATTGATTGCAATAGTTACACTTTTTAACATATTCTTCAGTATCCAATTTCTTATTCATACCAAATATACTTGATTCAGTTTTAAACTCAAATAACCTTTCAACAATTTTCTCAATTTCCATCTTAAATTCATCAATTGACATATTTTCACATTTATTATAAATTGAACATAATTCATTAATACTAATATCATTTATAAACGATTTTATAACATTTGGAAATGATTTATCATCATCATCATCATCAATTCTCATATTATAAACACTTAAAATCTTATTAAGTAAATTTAATTTATATTTCAATTCTTTTCCATCAAAATATATAGATTTAATATAGAAATACCATTCATAAAAAATTGAGAAACTATCAGTTTTCAATACAAAAGTAAATAATATTTCATAATTTAAATTCATAATTCCAATTACTACTAACAATGGTATTTGAAAAATTAACAAAAAAAGATATGTTATAAATTGTATCATAGACAAGAATTGTCCCAGTTTTCCACCATAAAAGAATTGTTTCTTATTCATAAAATATAAATTATGTATGATTAGTAGGATATAATCAATTGTTATTACTTTACCATAAATATTGACTATAAGTTGATCATTTGAATGTATTGAACAATTCCTTAATAAATATAATAGTGTTGATACAAAAAAATATTCTGAAGGAATTTCAATAGGAAATCTAAATTCTATTTTTTCAATACTTGCAACTATAATTTGGCAAAATCCAATAATAAAAATAATATTTTTCAATGGAAAAATCCTCTCATCGTCAGATAATTTTTCCAAATTCTCTATTTTCAAAACATGTGTTAAAAAATTATTAAATCCTATATAAAACAATAAAAAGCCAATTGTATATGAAGCCATTTTGATAAATGGACTTTTCTTAACAAGCATAACAATTGTACTATAACCATGTATTACATGGTTAAACCAAATGAATAACCAACTAAATAATTTCCCTTGATTATATAACATGCTATGTTTAAAATAATAAAAAACCAGACTTTGTTCAATACTGTATTGAATGAATGGTTTACAATACCATTTTTTTGTATGTTTCCTATTAATTTCAGGTCTGATCCAAAGGAGTGTCATTTGGCCTAGTACTTTTGTAATTTAATATAAATACCAATTATATGTTGTCTTAATGCCAAACACCTGAACAAAACATCCCCTGATTATAAATGTCAGAAGGATTGTTTAAAATATTAAAACATTAAAATGTATACTATCATATCAAAAAGTTTTGTTGTGGTTTTACTCATTATTCTCAAACATCTTTCTTCAAAAGGGCTTTAGACAGTGGTTATAAGGTTACTTTAAGGATTGTCAAAAAAATAACAATCCTATCATTAAAATTCAACATTATGTAATAAGTTGGGAGATTTACAATGATTTCTGGTAGTTAATGAAAATAAATGACAATATTAGAAATGGACAAGAACAACAGTAATTGAAGAATTCACAACAATATTGTAAATTGGTAAAGCATATTGGCAACATAGGCAAGAAAAATTAACTACAAGGATATACCCTTAAGAGTTTTTCTACACAAAGTTGTTACTCATGTTTTACAGCAAGTTAATTTGAAACAAGTCACCTACAATAAGTGCAACACAAACAAGCTATTCTACAAAACAACTCACAACCCATTAAGCCCTGTAAGAACCCAAACAATGAAAGACAAAAGATATGTGTACTTTTTAGAAAAAGGATATAAATTTCGCATTGTATCTGCAAAATCAATGCAATTAAAAATCAATAACAACCTTTCTAAACCAGAATTAGAAATTGCTAGGCTAGCTAGAATATATCATCATAAGATAGAGAAAGATATCGTTTATCAAGACTCAAAAATACAACAAGCAATCACTTCACTAAAACAAAACCAAGCCAGGTAAGACAACATGGTAAACATTGCAAAAGAGTGAAAAAGTTTTTTCATAATTTGTATTATCAACTTGGAAAACACTTTGGTATTGTAAAAATTGATCAACAAAATATCAGTATTTCGTGCAAAGAATATGTATTGAGTAAATGAGTTTCTAGTTCTAAACAAGAAAGTTTAAACAACCAGCCAATGGTTAGAGAACTGAACTATAAACTGTTGATTTGGTATGGTTTATATACTCTTTCAAAGGTTGATGGTTCACAAATTCCTTTGTTATAAGTCAAGCAATCATGAAAACATAGGCATTTTACAATGTCCAGTTCTATGTTCTACTTTAACAATAATAGTTAATTACTTGAGTATTACTTGAGTGAAGCCTGCATTTTGGTTGTATTAAAGGAAAATAATGGCTTTACCTTTCATTCCTGATCAAATTATTAAATCAATAGACTTTTCAATGAAAATAAGGAAAGGCTGACAGCAGGAAAGGTCTTAAAAGAGTTAGAAGTAAATGTGAGCCTCAAAACCAATCAGAGGGAGCTGAAGAGACAAAATTATAAGTACAAAAGGATAAGACAAAGAGTTGATCTTACACCTAAGGCTAAGTATAATGGAAACGTCATCAATTTTTACATTGTTTTGAATATCATATTCTATAGCTAGAAAAGTACTTTTTTTGCATCTTAATTTATATGATTAGGAAAATTTTTATTCAATTTATTTCAAACTGTAATTTTAGAAGTGTATGAAACATAATCAATACAACACTTTTTAAGCTTTAGAATATAAAATTAGAAAATTATATTTCCTTAGAAAATTGATTAAAGTATAAAAAGAAATAACATTCCATTCAAATTTATCTGCTAATATATCAATCATATTTTGTTCAGAGCATGAAGAATTTATATAAAACATAATTTTGATTAAAAACTTAGAAATCAAAAAAATTATATATATTGAGAATGAAACAAATGTAAAACAATTATGCAAATTTACAAATTTTCAAGGTAACTTTTCTTTGGTTTTTTTGTTGATTTTATTTCAAAATTAATTTATGAATTTTGAATTTATTTTAGATGTTAATTTTGAAATATCAAGAAAAAATATGAATAGAACATTTGCATATTTAAATATGTTTAGTATAAAATCAGAATATTTTGTATTTACAAAAACATTTGGTGTTAATCCACTAATTTTTAAACAAATTGAAAATTTACAATATTTTTGTAAAACATTGTGTGATAATTTTAATATGATCTACTCTTTCAAATCATGCTTTTACTAAACAATAAAACAAGTTGTATGTATAGAGATGAGAGAAAATATTGAGGCTTTATAAAAAATTACATATGTATAAATATGACTTTTCTATAATTTAGCAACCAATGTAGTATTGTTCAACAAGTGAATTTCAATTATTTAATTGCCATTACAATGAAGATATAGGACAAAATATATCTCTATTAATTGTTCCATGTGTCAAAGGTGAAAAAAAAAAAAAAACAATTAAACAGATTATGAAAGTCAAAATTATTTTGTTATTTCATGAAACTTTCAAGACAAAAAGTTCAGATTTAAAACAAAGGATTTTTTTATTTTACCATGGATAAAGCATAATCTACCTGGTGTAAGGGGCAATTTTCAGAAATATACCAATGGTAGATGGAATGATAGATGGCAAACTATTCCATTTATTCACCAACACGAGCATAAGATTATTTGTGAAAATTTTGGATTTAACTATACAGATATTGCTTATACAAAACATGACAAATTTGAAATCTCTGAAAAAGAAAATGAAAAAGAACTTCAAAAAATCTAACAGATTCCGAAATTATGGAATCAGAGTATACTTGATTTGTTTACAATTTAAAAAAAAAAAAAAAATTGATAAACAAAAAATAATTGCCACAGAAAATATCGTGTTTTAAACTTTGATTTAGTTTGCACAAATATAATGAAAAAAAGTTTAAATTGCTCTGGGATGAATTATTATGAATATAAATCAATATGTTATTTGTTCAATTATGAAAATAGATCATACATTCCTTCTGATCACAAGGTATTTTATTGAAAATAGATAGTAAATTTAAATTGTGTTATTTTTCAGGCCCAAAGTCTTTCAGGCTATGGAATTAATATAGATTTTGATAGCATTGAACTACAAGAAATGACTTATTCAAACGTTTGGAATGCAATTATAAATAATAATAATTATAAAGGAGATTGTACTGAAATATCTTTAGTACGGAATTAGAAAAACAAAAATATTACATTATATAATGATGACCTAATTCAGATTTTAGATACATATCTAGTGGAATTTTCAGTAGAATTTTATAAATATGATTACAGTGAGTATTAATTTACATTTTTATTAAAATATTAACAATTTTAAAAAGGCAAACTGTGCAAACTGTTATTAGGTTGGAAAAGTAGAAGAGTTAGTTGTAAAAGAAGACAAAATTATTTCATTTGCCAAAAAATTATTTGTATAAAAATATTTCTTTTTTTTTTAAATTTGTATTCTTTTTATAATCTGAAATTAGATTCCAACAAGATTAATACCAATACATTATATTTGAAAAAATCTATTAAATACACTCAATACAATATTTTCCTATGTGAAACTAGTCAAATATATATCAATATTGTTTATCAGTATGCTGGTATATGGGATTGTTCACTAGGAGAAGATGAAAAAGATTGTAGAAATTATATGGAAAATACATTTAATTGTTTCACATCAGATATGACAATTAGATATACTTTGGTGTGTGATTTTCATCAGGATTGTCCAGATGGATCTGATAAAGAGTTTTGCAGTTGTACACATTTAGGCAGTTTGTAGGTACTAAACACATAAGCTCGTAACCAGGCTCACAAACTCACACAATACACCCAAATTGTTACATTTCATTCATCAATGGAAAGCAATATTGAAAGAGTATTATAGAGTACTCTACACACCTAAAACTACAACATACACTATTTAAACCAAGTTGTAAAAGTATTTTACAACTTAGATGTTAACCCAAATTATTATACACATCATATTTAATGAATATTAATTATATCTTCCACTATTCTATTTATATTTGGAGCTTTTAGATTATTGTCACTTTTCAACAGTATTGTATGCACAATACTATATTGGATGATTAAGTTTAATACTTTTATCCTACCAGTCCTTTACACAGAAACATATTATCTTACACAAACAATTATTATTAATAATTTGTTGTATATTAAAACGGCATCAAGTTGACCTTTTCCTATTTTTGTGTTTTGGAATCAATCCAACTTCTATTAATAATTGTTACATCTTAGGCAACTTTCTGACCTAC